TCAACTTTCACTTTTTTAACCCAACATTTGGGTTTGTCCATATTTGACCCAAATTTGGGATGAAACAACCCAGCATTTTTTAGAGTGATGGCGCATATATATATATATATAACTCACCTTTTTCGAAGGAATTGTTGGTTACTGTAGAAAAATGAGATGTTTATTAGGTTGTGGGGTGGGAAAAAAGCATTTAGGCGTTTCATTGATGCATGAAATGATTTGCTACTTTTTTCTCTGAGCAAGACACTTAACCTCTGACATATATAGCAATTGTAGGCTAAAAGCTTCAGCTAAAAGAATAAATGTAAATGTACTTACTCTCAAAATGAGAGGCCGCTTTCCGTCCGTTTCCTTTCCTCCCTCCCGCTTGCAAGATAAAGACAAAAGAGAGGCATGTTTTGGAAAAAGAGACCAAACTCTCTGGGATGCAAATAAGAGTCATCCATGTGGAGCTCCTGCAACTTCCAGCATTAAACAGCTGTGCAGATGCAAACATCATGGATTAATCTAGAGTAATTTATACACCAGCTGAAGTCCTGATTGTCAAAGCAGATGGTGAAATATTTCCTTTCAGCTCTCTTCTACACTTCTCCTAGCCTTTGTTTTCAGGAACAGGCACCATGCACAGGGTTTTTCTACTTTCACCCCACCAGCTGGTTCCAGTCAACAACGAGGCAAAACTAAAAATTATACACTGCAAGAAAAATGAACAGTTGGCTCTTTCTTAACCTTTCTCATGCAGAAAATAATCCTCCTCTGAAATGAGCTAGATTAACAGCTATGGCTACCGTTCAACTAAATGCAGTTATTCAAACAAACCACCTAGAGAAATGCGTTTTTTTTTTTTTGTCCATCTCCAGAGATTTGGGAAATCTCTCCTCGGGGAAGCTGCCTGAACTCCCGGTAGTCCGTCACAATATGCATTGACTGATCACCTACGTCTCAGACTTCAAAAGGAGCTGCGCAGAAACGGTTAAAGCGACTGTTATTTCTGGCTTACCGCTTCAACTTGAAGCCGTGACTGTCCCTAAGGGGCACTATTCTGGGCTAGGAAAACAACATATTTTGAGGAATGATTGTGGATAAGCATTTTGGCTCTGAAATCTGTCAGGTGTCAGCTGAAGACTTGCGGCTGTTCTGAAGCTCCATCTGTTCAACGCTAATGTCTATTGTGTTGATCTTTTTGGCCCGAGCTGCTCACTTTCTGTTGTTTTTACCCCGTTGGCACTGTTATGTACTCAGCCTTGAGATGTCTTATCGCATAATTGCAACAGAACTAAAGCAAGTCTATTGCTAATTAAAGCTATTTCTGGCTTCAGTGCAAGGGTCACTTGTTTTAGACGGTTGCCAAAACCAATATGCCCTTGCGGTTCTTGTGCCAGTTGGGTTTTGCTGGGTACGTGTCCATTCAGCTCAAACCTGTAATTTCTGCTGTCATTCAGCCTTCTGCCTACTGTTTCCTGTTGCAGCTTTTGGAAACATATGCCCAATGGTTTACCCAAGGTGGCTTGGTGTCCAAAACGGTTTGGCTTCTGTATATACTCATCCTTCTGCAGCTGGAAACACTGCAGGTGATCCAAGGTTTTCTGACAAGACCTGCAATTTGTTACAACTGCGTGTTTGTACATCTTTATGATGGTTTTATTCAAATTCCTTCAAATTGTAATCTGTGATTGCTATAATGCAGGCGATAATGCGCGCTTGACACACGCGAGAGAGACCGAGTGTGTCCGAGAGCGCGCTCGACTGCGCGAGAGAGACCGGGTGTGTCCGAGAACGTGCTCGACTGCCCGAGAGAGACCGAGTGTGTCCGAGAACGCGCTCGACTGCCCAAGAGAGCCCGAGTGTGTCCGAGAACGCGCTCGACTGCGCGAGAGAGACCGAGTGTGTCCGAGAACGCGCTCGACCGCGCGAGAGAGACCGAGTGTGTCCGAGAGCATGCTCGACTGCGCGAGAGAGACCGAGTGTGTCCGAGAACGCGCTCGACCGCGCGAGAGAGACCGAGTGTGTCCGAGAGCATGCTCGACTGCGCGAGAGAGACCGAGTGTGTCCGAGAGCATGCTCGACTGCGCGAGAGAGACCGAGTGTGTCCGAGAACGCGCTCGACCGAGACCGAGTGTGTCCAAAGGCATGCTCGACCGCGCGAGAGAGACCGAGTGTGTCCGAGAGCGCGCTCGACTGCGCGAGAGAGACCGAGTGTGTCCGATAACGCGCTCGACCGAGACCGAGTGTGTCCGAGAGCATGCTCGACTGCGCGAGAGAGACCGAGTGTGTCCGAGAGCGCGCTCGACCGCGCGAGAGACCGAGTGTGTCCGAGAGCATGCTCGACTGCGCGAGAGAGACCGAGTGTGTCCGAGAACGCGCTCGACCGAGACCGAGTGTGTCCGAGAGCATGCTCGACCGCGCGAGAGAGACCGAGTGTGTCCGAGAGCATGCTCGACTGCGCGAGAGAGACCGAGTGTGTCCGAGAGCATGCTCGACCGCGCGAGAGACCGAGTGTGTCCGAGAGCATGCTCGACTGCGCGAGAGAGACCGAGTGTGTCCGAGAACGCGCTCGACCGAGACCGAGTGTGTCCGAGAGCATGCTCGACTGCGCGAGAGAGACCGAGTGTGTCCGAGAACGCGCTCGACCGCGCGAGAGAGACCGAGTGTGTCCGAGAACGCGCTCGACCGAGACCGAGTGTGTCCGAGAGCATGCTCGACTGCGCGAGAGAGACCGAGTGTGTCCGAGAGCGCGCTGGACTGCGAAAGAGACCGAGTGTGTCTGAGAACGCGCTCGACCGCACGAGAGAGACCAAGTGTGTCCGAGAGCGGGCTGGACTGCGAAAGAGACCGAGTGTGTGCAATATTAAATTTTAAAAGTTCTAAACAAACCTAAAATTATCTTTTATTGTTCTACTATAGTAATGATAATATTCAAAATAATATATAGAATTTTATAGGTGTCTCTCACATTGTCCCACAGCAACATTACAATAGTGTAGATTAGTGTACAATGAGAGAGGCCGAGTGTGTCCGAGAACGTGCACGACTGCGCGAGAGAGACCGAGTGTGTCCGAGAACGCGCACGACTACGCGAGAGAGACCGAGTGTGTCCGAGAGCATGCTTGACCGAGTGTGTCCGAGAACGCGCTCGACCGAGTGTGTCCGAGAACGCGCTCGACCGAGTGTGTCCGAGAACGCGCTCGACCGAGTGTGTCCGAGAGCATGCTCGACCGCGCGAGAGAGACCGAGTGTGTCCGAGAGCATGCTTGACCGTGCGCGAGAGACCGAGTGTGTCCGAGAACGCGCTCGACCGAGTGTGTCCGAGAGCATGCTCGACCGCGCGCTCGAGAGACCGAGTGTGTCCGAGAACGCGCTCGACCGCGCGAGAGAGACCGAGTGTGTCCGAGAGCATGCTTGACCGTGCGCGAGAGACCGAGTGTGTCCGAGAACGCGCTCGACCGAGTGTGTCCGAGAACGCGCTCGACCGAGTGTGTCCGAGAGCATGCTCGACCGCGCGCACGAGAGACCGAGTGTGTCCGAGAACGCGCTCGACCGCGCGAGAGAGACCGAGTGTGTCCGAGAGCATGCTTGACCGTGCGCGAGAGACCGAGTGTGTCCGAGAACGCGCTCGACCGCGCGCACGAGAGACCGAGTGTGTCCGAGAACGTGCTCGACCGCGCGAGAGAGACCGAGTGTGTCCGAGAACGCGCTTGACCGTGCGCGAGAGACCGAGTGTGTCCGAGAGCATGCTTGACCGTGCGCGAGAGACCGAGTGTGTCCGAGAACGCGCTCGACCGCGCGCACGAGAGACCGAGTGTGTCCGAGAACGCGCTCGACCGCGCGAGAGAGACCGAGTGTGTCCGAGAACGCGCTCGAGAGACCGAGTGTGTCCTAAAACGCGCTCGACTGCGCGAGAGAGACCGAGTGTGTCCGAGAACGCGCTCGACCGCGCGAGAGAGACCGAGTGTGTCCGAGAACGCGCTCGACCGCGCGAGAGAGACCGAGTGTGTCCGAGAACGCGCTCGAGAGACCGAGTGTGTCCTAAAACGCGCTCGACTGCGCGAGAGAGACCGAGTGTGTCCGAGAACGCGCTCGACCGCGCGAGAGAGACCGAGTGTGTCCGAGAACGCGCTCGACCGCGCGAGAGAGACCGAGTGTGTCCGAGAACGCGCTCGAGAGACCGAGTGTGTCCGAGAACGCACTCGACTGCGCGAGAGAGACCGAGTGTGTCTGAGAACGCGCTCGACCGCGTGCGAGAGACCGAGTGTGTCCGAGAACGCGCTCGACTGCGCGAGAGAGACCGAGTGTGTCCGAGAGCATGCTCGACTGCGCGAGAGAGACCGAGTGTGTCCGAGAACGCGCTCGAGAGATCGAGTGTGTCCGAGAGCGCGCTCGACTGCGTGAGAGAGACCGAGTGTGTCCGAGAACGCGCTCGACTGCGCGAGAGAGAGGCCGAGTTTGTCCGAGAGCGCGCTGGACTGCGAAAGAGACCGAGTGTGTCCGAGAACGCGCTCGACCGTGCGCGAAAGAGGCCGAGTGTGTCCGAAAACGCGCGAGAGAGGCCGAGTGTGTCCGAGAGCATGCTCGACTGCGCGAGAGAGGCCGAGTGTGTCCGAGAGCATGCTTGACTGCGCGAGAGAGACCGAGTGTGTCCGAGAGCGCGCTGGACTGCGAAAGAGACCGAGTGTGTCCGAGAACGCGCTCGACCGGCCGAGTGTGTCCGAAAACGCGCGAGAGAGGCCGAGTGTGTCCGAGAACGCGCGAGAGAGGCCGAGTGTGTCCGAGAACGCGCTCGGCCGCGCGCGAGAGAGGCCGAGTGTGTCTGAGAACGCGCGAGAGAGGCCGAGTGTGTCTGAGAACGCGCGAGAGAGGCCGGGTGTGTCCGAAAACGCGCTCGACTGCGCGAGAGAGGCCGAGTGTGTCCGAGAACGCGCTCGACCGCACGAGAGAGACCGAGTGTGTCCGAGAACGCGCTCGGCCGCGCGAGAGAGAGGCCGAGTGTGTCCGAGAACGCGCTCGGCAGCGCGCGAGAGAGGCCGAGTGTGTCTGAGAACGCGCGAGAGAGGCCGGGTGTGTCCGAAAACGCGCTCGACTGCGCGAGAGAGGCCGAGTGTGTCCGAGAGCGCGCTCGACCGCACGAGAGAGACCGAGTGTGTCCGAGAACGCGCTCGGCCGTGCGAGAGAGAGGCCGAGTGTGTCTGAGAACGCGCGAGAGAGGCCGAGTGTGTCCGAGAGCGCGCTGGACTGCGAGAGAGACCGAGTGTGTGCAATATTAAATTTTAAAAGTTCTAAACAAACCTAAAATTATCTTTTATTGTTCTACTATAGTAATGATAATATTTAAAAAAATATATTGAATTTTATAGGTGTCTCTCACATTGTCCCACAGCAGCATTACGATTAGTGTACAATGTTTTATAACAATAATTTATTCATGTCCATTTATTAATTTAACAACTTTAATATTGCGCGCATCCAAGTTATTTGACATAGGCCTATTTTAACTTTTTATTTTTTTAAAGTAACGCAATAGTTACTTTCCCTTGTAATTAGTTACTTTTGTTACTAACTCAGTTACTATTTGTGAGAAGTAACTAGTAACTATAACTAATCCTTTTTTTAAGTAACATGCCTAACACTGTTCATAACTACTGATCATTTTTTCAGTCTTTACTAGTCAAGTGCTTTGAATGGATTTCAATAACATTATGACGCATGATGTCCTTCGGTACCATCTCTGCGGAACCTCCGACTCTCCAGAATATCGCGTTTTTCCAGGATGAGTTGGAAGATGGCCTTGCGCTGCATATTCACCTGCAAGAGAGAGAAAAAACGAGAGGGAGAAGAAGACAGAATCACTTTTTTAAATGCTTTTGCAGACAGATATGGGAGACAGACGACACCAGTGTGACTGGAACATAATATGTGTGTCAAGTTCGAGCAGGCCACTGGGGAGAAAAACACTGCTGGCTTCTATTAACTGGCGTTTTACAGGTAACCCGTGCAGTAGTCAGAGCTTTTGAAATAATCCAACTCAAGCTGAAGGCGTTCCTGAGCGAGACACAAACAAACAGTCACCAGAAGCCTGGCAAACACTGAAGCTCCAGTTTTTAATAGGTCAACCACTTCCCCTAAATGATAACCGGTAACAACACCTTTTTCTTCTTCTCTTAATGCAATAATTCCGGGAATGTTTCTCTGTTAAAAGGAAACGTTAAATTAAGTGGAAAAGAAAAAGCTGACAAACAATGTGACTAGCACGTGAAAGCTTCGTCAGCACTTTAACAAATGTCTGGCAACAGGAACTGCAGTTGTGCCTAGAAGTGAAGTGAGTACCTGTCCATCGGGACTTTCAGTCTACTCACCATTGAGAGTTCGGGAGTGCACACTAACTGCACTCCGCCTCAGGGGACAAAGTTAGGGTAATATGCAGAGCCGTAAACATGCCGATGCTTTTTGTCCTTTTTAGGGGTGAAATATTTGGGGGGAATGCAGTAATTAAATTAACATGCACAATAGCTCTAGCGAATTGCTCACCCACAGGGAAAAACGATGTTTTGTTGCCAGATATTGATTACAAAACAGATGAACGCAGCCGAAGCCAAACCGTGCACTCTAAAAAAAACCGTTGGGTTCTTTTTTTCTACTCAAACGCTGGGTTGAGCCTGTTGGGTTACTTTTTCCATAGTTGGGTAGTTTTTGTGGTACCTATCCGTTGGGTTAGTTATAGAAGCTTGTTTCCGCCACAGAATAAAACATTTTAAAAGATAATTGTGACTTTTTATCTCACAATTGAGAGTTAACATCTCGCAATTCTGACTTTATTTCTCAAAATTGCGAGATATAAAAGGCAAAATTGCATTGTATAAAGTCGCAATTGCATGTTATAAAGTTAGAGTTGCAAGAATAAGAATGACTTTTCTGACTTTTTTTCTTGTAATTGCAAGTTAATATTTCGACATTCAGACTTTATAGCACGCAATTTATATTTCGCAATTCTGACATCTTTTCTCAGAATTGTGAGATATAAACACGCAACAGCTCTCTCCTTGTCAGGATAGAGCAGTTCTTAATGCTACCGAATTGGTGGTGCATTTCATCGGTAAAATGGTTTTGTATACATTTTACTTCTGTAGAATATTTACTATGCTGTAAATCATTTTATGCAACGCAACATGGATGAGATGTCAATTAGTCAGTCAGCATCGTCTCACATGATGGAAACACCTTTTTCCTTAAATAAATAGATAAACTGATTTGTATTTGCCATAATATTGAATCTAATTCATTTGAATGTTAAAATATATTCTCATAACTCTGTAATGTTTGTTTATGTGCAGATTATAAATATCTTTCGGCTCACTTGGCAATACACCGCTCCCCTTACGACAGAAATATATGTGGAAAAATTGTTTTTCAAATGCAAGTTATTAAATATTTAACTTTTAAAAAGCAATTTTATTTAACTGTAGAATTAAGTTGTTATGCACTTTTTGACACATGTACTGGTGAACATGTTCTTGCATATTAATAAATGTTCACCTTTTGATTATTAATGTTCCTGTTGTTTCTCAAGTAATTCTGTGTGATTTAAATTTTCAACGTAACTTTAATCAATAGTTGAGTTCAATAAAATAACACAGTATGTTGGGTCATTTACCCCAACCGTCTGGGGTCGTCCAAGTTTGACCCAGCGCTGGGTTGCCAAACAGAGTGGGTTGCCAAATTGTTTTTTTCTAACCCAGGATTTTTTTTTTTTTTTTTTTCAAACAAAATAATTTCCGAAAACTCACAGAAACGTCCTGCATTTTTAACACGCATAAACAGAAAGTATAGCCATCATATTTTCTGGCAACATTGTTTGAAAACCTTCCAAAAAGTTAGATATTGTCAGTGCTAGGCTACTAGCTACATTTTACGTCTCTAAACCATCTTTGAATTAGTGATGTTTTGTTCGTGAAAGCTATGTTTTGAACAAATCGCTCTTGAACCCGTTTGAGGAAAAAACTCGCCGCTCGCCAAACACTAAAATTTTGCATTTCATTCATTATTTCGTCGTTGTTTTTACATGTGTGTCACACGAACAAACAATTTATTTAAGTGAGCCTAAAGTATACCAAAACTCAAACCGTTTGATGATTATTTTACCACAAATTAATTCAATGACTGCTAGTCTAAGACCAAGTGTTTTTGATTCACTAAAAAGAATCGGACTTCAGGAGTTCTTCGTTCGCCATGGTCACGCGCTATAGGACTAATTTGATTCCTTAAAAGGAACCGGTTCATAAGAGTCATTCGTTCTGGAATCGAACACTGGTCGAGCTCAGTGGCAGTGCTGAATAGTTGCGCAGAAACCCTCTCGGAACATTTTAGAAGTGTTTCGTCCACATCGGCAGGAGAACTCATGAAAAAGCCCATCCTTATCTGAGGGTATGCTGCTAAAGATTTAAATGGTAGCCTAGCTTACAAGTCGCAAAATCATTTAACCATAATTACACAAATGCATTTACGAGACACGCTTCAAAACGCGCTCGTGCCAAGCAGTCTAAGATTTCCAGTAAATTGCCCTAAACATGGAGAAAAATTGGCAACAAAACCATCACACTTGGCAGCAACTTTAGAAACTAAATAGGCCATAACTCACAGCACCCCGCGCGCAAAGTCTGGAAGGGTCATAAAACGCGTCCCGCAGACCCCCAGCGGTGCCGCAGCTGTATGTTTGGATAATCAAGTGCCTCGAAATTATATGCTTGCATTCCTTATAATATAGTCTACCTCCCCCATAAAAGAGCTTGCGAACAGCTTTCATGGTCAGGACCACAATAGCGTGATTGCAAATCACTGCATGGTTAGTGTGAACTGCTTGACAAATGTGCTTGAGCATGCATCTGTCATGCACTTTAAAGACAAAAAAGAAAGCACGCGAGCCATTGCATTTACCTGCTCTAAGCGCTCCTGCAGAGTTTGGAAAGACCTCGACAAGTCCCGCGTTTGTCGCAATGTCCACACTGTGAATATGGCACTGCACACTGCCAGTGACAGCGCGAGCGCGGCCATGAGCGCCCAAACCAAGCGCAGTGTGTGGATCCGTCTCCTCTGGAAAATTCGCTGCATTGTTGCGCACACGGGTCGTTTACCGTTCTGAAGCTTCCACGTCAATCATTCTGTCCATATTCCACGAGAACATCTCTGGAGCCTCTCGGGGGTTTGGGTCTCGTGCGCGAGAGCTTCTTCAACTTCGATGCTGCGCGCGGTCAACGCGAACCCTGTTGCAAACGTTGCAAGATTGACCCCAGCAAACCAGTCGCCGCTGGCACACGGAGAACTGTCTGCGTTTATTGCATAAACTGCAGCTGGCCCAAATGGCATAGCAATATTCCTTTCATTCTTGTGCAGAGAGGTGACAGCAGCACAGCAATACTGTGGGATTTGGATTTGATTCGCATCTTCCTGAGACCTGATTCTTTGGCATGACTTCCTCGTGTTCTTTTTGAGAAATAGATCAGGGTCTAGTCCACAAGAGGTGTCATTTCAAAGCACTTCTGCGTCCATGTGCTCAAGTATGCACTGCAGGGAAGTGAGTCCTGCACAGCAGTGGAAAACAGATTTCCTTCCCCCCTCGTGCGCTGCCAAGTATTCTTATTCTGTAGTGAAATACTATTTAGCTCTGTCCTGCCTCAAATCAACAAGTGCGTTTTTCCGCGAGTCTTTTTTCTAGGGGGCTGGTTGTTCTCGAAGGTTTTACAGAGTGTGGCCATGGACCAATTTAGTAAAGAGTGCTGATTTAATTGTCACCACAATCTGTACTAGGGATACTGTAGTATTCTGACCGGTAATGAAAAAAAAAATCAATAAAAGGTAAACTTAAAGGCAGAGTAGGCGATTTTTTTCAGGAGACATTTTTTGTTGTTGATGCTGGTTGAAAGTCTCTTCACAATCTGATAGCAATCACTTTGTTAAGTGGTCTAAATGTATTGGAAGGCAACACATTTATATTTTTTAACACGTTTTGCACACTGTAAAATGCACAAATCAGAAAGTTTTACAGACTTCGCTCAAATTTACAGTAAAAACAAACAAATGCATTTCATCATCTGATATACTGTTATCTTACCAACATTTTGAAGTACTAGATTTTGGTTTTTACCATTGTAATAAACCAACAACCACCAATCTCAATCTCATAGCTCATCAAATGCAGCTTTTCCATAATCTGAGAAAGTTAAAACTAATGTAAAGAAGCTGCACAGTGTCATTCACACAAACACTAAAAACCATCATGAACTCTTTTTTCGCTAAATTATACACTCTAAAAATGCTGGGTTGTTTTAACTCTTTAACTCATTATTGGCCAAGCTTGATTAATTCAGGTGTGTCTGATTATTGTTGCCGTGACTACTGAGGTCAGGCACACCTGAACTAATCAATTTGTCCAATAATGGCAGACAGGAATCAAAGGAGCTGGCTTAAGTTCAGGAAGTAGTCCAGCTGTGTATAAAGCCAATTGTTCTGTCATTTGTTTTAACATTGAAATAGTATTTTAATTCCTCAGAGAAGTGCTCTTGAAAAGTCCTATATGTGGTATATCGTTAATCACTTCTCCGGGTGAACACTTGATGTCGCTGTTGGTTAAGGTGTGGAAACTGCAACATCACGGCGTTTGAGCAGATTACAATTGATGATGAACTGCAGGCCAAATGAAATGTGAATCCTCTCAGCTACAATTAATTAAAACTAAAAGAGAGCTTTAACTTATTAACTCTAACTCTTAGCAGCTTATTTTTTGATTAGTCCTGCAAAGTTTTCTTCAACACTCACTATTTTCAAGGCTTAAAGGGATAGTTCACCCAAAAATAAAAACTTAAACTTTTGGGTAAACTAACCTTTTAAGGCCCATTCATTACAAGAGCGACAACGATAAATATTTCAGCGTCGAAAATGCAGTTTAGAGGTTTACTCGAGCTCTGAAAGAAGGATGAACTCTGATTGGCTATCAGTTCATCAGCTGGTAAAAATCGTTCTGAAAGTGATTCCAATCATTCCTCTGTCTTATCTTTATTGCTGGTGTGAACTCTATTCTTTTATGTTTATAACGATTTTTAGAACTATAACTTTATTAATTGAGTTATCGTTTTTGGTGTGAACTGGCCTTTAACCAAATTAAAACCCATGCAGCAAAAAATAAAAAATAACAGCACAAATGTACTTTTATTGATTACCAAAAGAATATAATCCACAGTACATTGGATACAGCAGCTATAGTTTATTTATGTGCTATTAAAGGATTAGTTCACTTTTCAAAAAACTTTTGCTGATAATTTACTCACCCCCATGTCATCCAAGATGTCCATGTCTTTCTTTCTTCAGTCGAAAAGAAATTAAGGTTTTTAATGAAAACGTTCCAGGATTTTTCTCCATATAATGGACTTCAGTGGGAACCAAACGGTTCAAGTTCCAAAAGAAACTTTCAGTACAAACTGCAAACTTGTTCAAAGGGCTTTAAACGATTCCAGACGATAAATAAGGGTCTTATATCAAGCGAAATGATCGCTCATTTTTAAAAAAAACAAAAAAAAAACAAAGTTTAAGTTTTATAAGATCAAACGCTCGCCTTGCTCTGTTCTGTGGTGCACGTTCGTAACTCTCTTGTTCGAACTCGTTCAACAAAATGAACAAATCTTTTCCCGAATCAATTCGTTCGTTTCTTTCCCCGAATGAACCAAATGACTCGGAAAAAAATTTGTTCATTTTGATGAACGAGTTCGAACAGGAGTGCGTTACAGAACAGCAAGGCGAGCGTTTGAGCTTATAAAACTTAAACTTTGTTATTTATTTATAAAACGAGCGATCGTTTCGCTTGATAAGACCCTTATTCATCGTCTGGAATCCTTTAAAGCCCTTTGAACAAGTTTGCAGTTTGTACTTAAAGTTTCTTTTGGACCTTGAACCGTTTGGACCCCATTGAAGTCCATTATATGGAGAAAAATCCTGGAATGTTTTCATCAAAAACCTTAATTTCTTTTCGACTGAAGAAAGAAAGACATGAACATCTTGGATGACATGGGGGTGAGTAAATTATCAGCAAAAGTTTTTTCAAAAGTGAACTACTCCTTTAAAATAAAAAATCTTTTCTAGCAGGTCATAAAATTGTCACCATTTACAACTATCTAAATTTAAAGACTCGGGTACTCATGAGGTACTCAGGTTCATGTTTTTGTTGTATTCAGTAACAGCACGAGATTTTCTTGTCAAAGACCTTTCGGCAATATTACAAAAATATGAACAAAAATATTGCACACAAGGTAATGTAAACTATTCATAAAAATCCAAATCCGGTCATGGTTCCACTAACTAATAACAGAGGCTTCATCTTAATTACAATTGTAGTGCATTTCTTCAGTTTTGGTGAGCTTATTCTCTGATACGACTAAATGCCTAGTGACCATTATCAAATGTTAGATGAGAAAAGTGTCTTTCTAAGTGGCTGTGACTCCAATCAATTTGTGTACCAGTCAATGAAAATTTATATAGGAGATGAATATGGTTACTTAAGCACAGGAAGAGAGCAAGTTGTCAGTTAAAATGGGCAAAATGTATTATCAAACAACTTGTTACTTGTGGCTCTGGTCTGTGGCTCATTGTGCTTCAAAATTTAAAGGTCCCCCTGTGCCAAGTGTTGAAGGGCATCGTCCTCACAGCACATGCAGCGATAGCCGAATTCGGAGGTCACATCCCAGCAGCCCTGCTTTCGGTAGAAGTCAAGAGATGACTTGTTCCAGTCCATTACAATGAAATTCAGCTGAGTGCAACCAGCAGCCAGACCAAGCTAAGGGTGATCATAAACACAAACATGTCAACTTGTGCACAGTTAACAAACACTTTTCTAAATCGCAACAGATTCAACACACATGCTGTATTTATCTTGAGTAAACAAACTCCCCATACCTGGGAGACTTTGGCCATCAGAGCCTTGCCAATGCCTTTCCCTGCAAATACACACAGAAAATCTTACTGACGCTTTTGACCATACGTCAACATCCGACGTCAGTTAGCTGACGCTATCTAATCCTAACCCTACCCCAGACCTAAACCTACCCGCGTCATCTAACTGACGCTAAAGCGTACCCTAAAACATCGGATGTTGCCGGATGGTCAAAAGCGTCAGTTAGATGACGTCTTGGGATGAGAATGTGTTCATTAATCAGTTACTGTATGTTACATTCAAATAAACGAAAGCATGGTGTCGTTTCCTTACCTCTGAACTCTGGCATCACGTACAGATCCTCCATGTACACAGCCCGACCTTTCCATGAGCTGTACGCGTAGAAGTACAGTGAGTAACCAACCTTGGTATGACCTGTAAAGAGAATCATTCCTGTCAGCTTAATGGCAAAAATAAAAACGCAAAACTCAGGAACAACACTGTGATCTAATAATATCAATTTGCAAAACAGATATAATCACAACAATATAAGTAATGTGTTCCTTTATTGCTCTTTTTTTCACATTAGCACATTTGACCTGACACTTAATTTGTTTCCTATTCTAACTTGCATTTGTAAATGCAATTTAATTTAAAGGGGTTATGACATTGATTTTATTTTTAGAATTTTAATATGTTCCTGGAATTTCACTTATAATGTTAATCAAATAACGGCATTACAGACAAAGCATTATGAAATCAATTACTTAGTCTGATGCAGATGCTCTCAGATTCAATTCAGGTTCCTTACGATCTCTTCATTACACTGTCCACACAAACAAGCTGTTTAAACTGGACGTGTCAAAGCGTTCTTTCGCTCATCCATTTGTCGACTCAAGTCGTGTGTGGAGTACATCAGAAACTGAACGCGCATCTGAATACTGTATCTAGTGTAGACAGCATCAGTAATTATAATGGTTTTGCTTTTGATGTGACGCGATGCTCACATCCAATGTGAGCAAATGCTAGCTGTTAAGCAATTGAACGATAGTGGGTGGGGCCCATGGTGCTATTATGTAGGCTATACTATTCATTGACGTCGTGCTTTAGAGGCAGGCATTTTTCTCACCATCTCTGGACTTAAGATGCTCCGGCACTTCAGCAATAATTCCATGAAAAAAAGGGGTTTTGGAGAATCCATCCTGCTCCAGATCTTTAGTAAAAGTTGTATGATTGGTACCAGCTCCAAACAATCCACAGCATGAATTATTCCAAGCAAATCACTTTGTATTGGAGAGATATGACAATCATGCCTACCTTTTTGTGTAATCTTGATCTGGTCTGAAACTTTCTCATACTCTGCCAGTTCCTAGTTAAAAGTATTAGACAAAACAACAGTTTATGGTTTGATTTTGCTGGGATTTTGCAGATGAGTGTCCCAATTCTTTAAAGGAGTTCACTTAAAATCACCCCATGATTTACTCATCCTCAAGCCATCCTAGTTGTATGTGACTTTCAGACGAATACAATCAGAGTTATATTAATAAACATCCTGATGCGTCCAAGCTTTATAATGGGAGTGCACTGCAACCCTCTGTTTGAAGCTCAAATACATGTGAATTTGATAAGGCGCACAACACTTATTGCAACATGGCATCATAACTTTGCGTAAAACATACACACCACTTTCAAGTCAAGTTAGTCTGTCTGTTCTATTCTCTGTCTGTTATCTATACGCATTTTTTGAGCTATCTGCGTACGTCCACACCGAAACGAACCGTCATCTTTTGCGTGTATGTCTACGCCGTTAAATGTCCAATTCCGCGTGTACTGTAACGGCCACCTAAAGTTGAGAAGTGTTGGTGACATGTTAATATGCCTTTAAGATAGCTACGTCTATTGCGTACGTTATTGTATGCGTGCTGTTAATGTGAGCGCGCACGCACGCTCAGTAGAGTGAAGACGGTTGCGAAGAGAGATGACCGCTCTATCGCTGGCTGTTATTTTTGTTGTAATGTGTTTTGCTTCCACTTTGTTTTTGTGACGTTTTGCAGTGTTAATTTCCCTGTTGGCATCTTTCAACATGTATGTGAACAGTGTGCCTAACTAGGGAAGGGCCGCAATAAATCACTCGTGGAACTAACCCACCCAGCAAAAACTCGTTGAAAAGACGTTGAAAAGACGACATTGCTAGACGTCTAAACTACGTTAAAATTTGGTTGAAAAGTGAAAGGTGAAAAGCCGTCTTTTTCAGGTCGTTGAAAAGACGTCTTTTTCGGGTCGTTGAAAAGACGTCTTTTTCTGGTAGTTGTAGTCTATAAAAGGACGTCCCATTCACGTTTAAATTAGGTTGTAAAGTGAAAGTTGAAAAGACGTCTTTTTTTAGGCATAATTTTCATGGATTCATGATTATATTTAATATTCCTAATTACTGTCAAAATAAGACAATTCACAAAAGTTTATCAAAACATTTATTGACACATAAAATACATCTTTCAAGTAAAAACTTCCCTGATCACACATCAAGCCCACATTTGATCAAATATAGCCTAAACACTGCAATATTGTGAAATATTACCACAATAAAAATAACTTCTCTATAAATTTATAAATAAATATACATATAAATATATAATAAAGTGTCATTTATTCCTGTGATGGCCAAGCTGAATTTTCAGCATCATTACTTCAGTCTTCAGTGCCACAAGATCATTCAGAAATCATTCTAATATGGTGATTTGATTCTCAAGAAACATTTATGATTATTATCAGTAGTACTGCTTCATGTTTTTTTTTGGAAAATGATTCAGCTTTCAGTATTCTTTGAAAATAACTTTCAAAAGAGCAGCATTTATTTGAAACAATTTTTCAAAAACAATTTAAAAGACTTTAACTGTGACTTGATCAAATGAATCCATCTTTTCTGTATAAACATCATTTTATCATTTATTGATAAACATCAAAACAATAAATCTTTAAAACATTGAAAATGTTTATAAAACAGACTAATTATAACCACATTAGAAAACATTAAAGGTATAGTTTACACAAAAATGTAATTGTCATTAATTACTTACTCTCATGTCGCTCCAAACCCATAAGACTTTTGAATATATTTTTAACAGATGCCTTGTGTGTGCAAAAAACAAAACAAAATTATGTATCGCCGATACAGGTTGCACCATGAGATGACTGACTCTCACGCCAACACAACACTGATGAATCGTGGTGCTCTGTGAACACGTGTTCAGCATTCACATCGCTTCATAATGTTGAGGTTAAACCATTGGAGAGAAAGTTATCATGAGCATTGTAATGTTTGAAACGGATGTCATAACAAATGTCAGTAGAACGGGATGATTTTAAAACAAGTGGTTCATTAATTAATCCGTACGATTTTAATAGAGTGTTTTCACTACACGTCATCAATCCGGAAGTCGGTCATTTTGGAGGCACTGAACGTAAACAATGCCACTGAACTGAACAGACTTGCATATTTGGCTGATTATTGCTGCTGAAAAATGGTCGTGTTTTGGTCTGTACTAATAGGTCACACCGGGAAAAAAAACATTTCAAGTTCTATAGACTGCCTAAAGTTAAAGAGAAGAGTGCAAAAAATGGATGAAAGAAAGTGTTTGTGATGAAGGTGTTTGTAGTTGAGAGGCAAAGCATCAGCCACATGTGTAAATGAAGCGTTGACTATGGCTAAAATGTTAAAGTAAAGTAGTTAACTATGGCTACATTCACACGGTCAGTCCAAATCTGATGTATCTTTGTATCCGATTGGGATCTGATCTAAAATGATGTCTACACTATGTATCGCAACTGTTCAGATCCGAGTCGTGTGTTCATGCAGCTCTTTGGAAATATGGCAATGACATTGCGTTGATGGAGGGGTTTGCATTTGCAATAGAGATGTTGTCTTATTTAAATTTTACAACATGGAAATGTGTAGCCGCCGTGCTGGACTGGTGTTTTGAGCTGCAGAACTAGAGGAGGCTGGTGTGCACAGCTTTTTTCCGTGCTCGTATCTGCGCCGGTTTCAAATATAAAGCGCTTGTCCGGCACTTTGCAACAACACAGCCTTGTTTCGGCAGCGACTTTTAGCATGTTCCCTATTACAATGTCTGACTTTAAAATTTGCGTGGCGTGAGAAAGTCACATACCACGCGAAATCTGATCAGAGCGTTCGGACTGAAGCAGATTTCCAGATATGTGATTTAATAGGATTGTGGACATATGGATGTAGCTTGAAACGGATTTCATGTGCTTTTTTTGGACTGACAATCTGAACGTAGCCTATGTGGGATAAGAAATAGAAGGATGAATAGCAGTAAGGGCTAGAGAAACTAGCTCGTTCAGATCTTTACCAGATATTAACTTTAGTTCGTCAAAAATCCACGCTCTTTCCTGCTTACTAAGTCTAGCCTATATGATTTTGCAGCTTCCATGTGTTTTTTTTCGTAGTTAAGACATCATAAATTAGTGTAACAATGTGTTCAGTAGTACATAAACAGTGCAATCAATGCTGTTGTTTACATCCGAGTATCTCGAATATAGCCGCGCATCCGGGTAACTGGCCAAATCGTGACGTGGGTGCAAACCCTCTATTGATTATTTTTATAATGTCTTACGTTTCTGAAGCTTGAAAGTGGTAGTTGCATAAACTGTGAAATTGAGGGACAGAAACCTCTCAGATTTCATTAAAAATATCTTTCAAAGATGAACGAAAGTCTTACAGGTTTGCAACGACATGAAGGTGAGTGACGAACATTTTTGGTTAAATTCTACACATTAAATCAGTTCCCTCAGAGGCACCAACAGATATCTTCCTGATCTCCGATCTTCTGGTTCTTCTGCTCCTTCCACCATCCCAACCCCGGATTATTAAGCCACGACTTAAGTTTTTACTTGAAATGCTTTAGCCTGGTGAGAAAGAAAACAATAACCAAAATGTACATTTAAAAAAACAAAAAAAACAATGGCTGTCCGAAACGTAAAGTATACACTTGAGTTTTTCCTATACATATACGTGCAAGATTTCAGTCACAGATAAATTGTAAATGTTTGCTTGATCAGACATTACATGTTTATGCTGAAATATAATATTGGTTTTTGTTTTAAAATCATCTAGTTCTAGTAATCAGGGTAGTTCACTTTGAAATTAATTTTTGGTATGTTTTAGCCTACCTCAAGTGCATCCAAGATGTAGGTGTCTTTGTTTCCGCAGTAGTTTCAATTTTTATATTTTTAGGTCATTTTTAGTTGCAGGTCTATGGTCACCACCTAATAGAGCATGCACAGAGAAGTCCAAATTAAACATGATTTAATGACTCGTATATGTACACATTGATGGCCTAAGACACGAAACGAGCAGATTGTGAGAAAACGAACAGTATTTATATCATTTTTACCTCTTGTAACCACAGCCACGTCCAAGTGATGTGAAGGCGCAGGCTCTTTGGTCTGCGCAAGCGCCGGAAAGCGCCGAAAGTGATCTCTAATTGTTTACACAGAGATTTCGGAAGTGTTACCTTTCACTGTGAAGATCTATTTAGATATAGAGGAAATCGCAATGGAAGACGATTTCGATATATCAACAGACAACGTTGAATAAGTACCATTTCAATTAGCCGTCTTACCTACAATCTCTGTTCTGTGTAAACAATGAGTGACGTACACGTGCGAGAGAGATCACTTCCGGCACTTTCCCGACACTTTCGCAGACCGAAGAGCCCACGCCCTCAGATCACTTGGACGTGGCTGTGGTTACAGATAAAAACGATATAAATACTGTTCATTTTCTCACACAAACCGCTCGTTTCGTGTCTTTAAGCCATCAATGTGTACTTAATTTACGAGTCATTAAATCATGTTTAATTTGGACTTCTCTGTGCATGCTCTTTGAGGTGGTGACCAGAGACCTGCATTATATGCCTGACCGACAAGAACGGTTTGACCTAAAAAAATCGAAATTGAAAATACTGTGGAAACAAAGACACCTAGGCTACATCTTGGATGCCCTCGAGATAAGCTAAAACATACCAAAAATGTATTTAAAAAATGAACAATCCCTTTAACCACTGACTACTGAGCTAGGGACCTGAGTGATAAGCACCCAGAGTTTAACACCTTGATTAGCTTGTTCAGGTGTGCTGGACTAGGTTAGAGGAAAACTTTGTTCTGAACATGACACATCAGAGATGCAGGATGACTGCTAGATTGATGACTTACAACAGTGGCATCCAGACCAGACCAGGGCCAGTGTTCTGCAGAGTTTCTGGTGATGTTTAGTCAGCTGCTCAGGTCTGATTAATTGGGGTTGGAGCTAACAATACTGAAAAGAGAAAGAAGACAACTGATATTATTAAGTTACATTATAAATAATTGGGGTTGGAGCTAACAATACTGAAAAGAGAAAGACACCAATATTATTACGTTATAAATAATTTGTTCTGTGTGTTCATTACCTGTACAAAGAATACGTCATCAATAAACTGTATTAATAACACTGTTTTGACGATTAGCTAGCTTAATTCCATTCATCCATTGACCAATTGCCAACAAAACCTTTACAAAACTATCAAAATAAATATCTAATCTACACATACAGTAAGATACGATTAAAAGCCCAAACTTACTGCTCAAGTCTAACGTTATAGTTAACCTAACTTACCTATAGTTAGCCTAACAGTTGAGATGCTAACGGACTTTTTCTAAGACACTAACCAAGCAAATATTCAACGGAAGTGAGTCTTTTACATAAAAGAAATTGTCGGAAACATTTTTATGTACTATTTGTGTAATTTTAGGGACTAAACTTACCTGAAAGTAGTGAAAACAACAGCGAGAGATGGAGCTGTGCTGATCGTTGTCAGTTGAGCTACCGCCCGGTTTCCATGGTAACGTTGTCTGCTCCAGTTCAAATGCGGCTCGAATGTTCAGCGCGTGCGCCCATTGATTAAAACACGCAGAGTTACGCAGCATTGAGATGGAGTGAATTATTTGACAATCAGCTGAAACTTGATGCATTATTAAGTGGATAGTAGGCCTGTGGCCATCGTCAAACTATAAAACAATGTTTTAAGTCATGTAGGCTAATAGTCTAATAATATAATATAGCTTTAAAAAATGGTAAACGTGCTGTAGATTGTTTTTTTTTTTGTTTTTTTTTGCAAAAACATTGATTAAAACCTACATAAGGCATGCACATATTTCCTCATATAGCCTACACAGATTACAGATGAAACATGAGGAACAATTATAAACTATTCTATGTATTTTTAAAATACATTCAAGTCCGCAGGCCAAGCGTTCTGGTTTGGAGGAAAATGCTTAATGTGTAGGCTAATTAAACGCGTTGCATTCATATTCTGGGCTCATCTGATTTTTTGTACACAGCCTTTATTATGATTTTAGGCCTATCATAACGATTAATAAATGCACGCACAATTATCCGTGAACTTGATAAATGTTGCAGATATGTTTTACTATGCACAAAAAATGCCTTTCAACTTACCACAACTCAGCATGTCTCAAAGACATGAGACATATCTATAGAGAGCTGGAAATATCTTTAAACAAAACAATTCAAAACGAAAAGAAATAGGTACTCTCTGATTATGTAATCATTTTGTGCATTTCTCTCTCAAGGCGCGTTCGCTGCGGAGATGGAGATCTTCAACTTCATCTTTTGCAGCGGACACAGAAAACAGTTTATTAATAAAAATAAAATGCAATAAAAATCAATGCACGCGTGTCACCGGATTTACAAATGCACATCTTGCTTGTTGCACGCACACATATTATGTCGAAATAACAAGATATTGTGTGGAAATTACATTATTATTAATAGGCTACATAAGAATATTTGATTGAATGTTGAATGTTGTGCTTATTTTAATTTAAATTAAAACCTGAATTGTGATAATTACAATAATTGAATATGATATATTGAGTGGCTAAGTTTTGCTCATTTATTAAAAGTAGCCTTTTTATATAATTGTGAAGCTCCCCTGTCAATAGCACCCCTTCAGCACCTGTTAAAAATGATCTGGCGCTGCCCTCAGACGGACCAAACAAAGGAGGCTACATTTTTCAAAGTCTTTTGGGCTAAATTTGGACCAAACCAAACGGACCAAATAGAGACCAGTTTTCAACGTCTATTTTCGGGCTAAATTTTGACCAAATCAGACGGACCAAACAAAGACCAATTTTCAACGTCTATGTTTGGGCTAAATTTGGACCAAATCGGACGGACCAAACAAAGCCCAATTTTCAACGTCTATTTTTGGGCTAAATGAAGGCTATGACGGGCCGACTTGATTTAGCCCAAAAAACAACGTCTTAATGACGTCTGGTGCTGGGTGGGAACGTTACCAGTTCGTTTCCACTGTTTTTTTCCTTGTCTTCATCTGGGCAGATTTAAAACTCTTGCAGACGTTACAGTACACATGTCCGAGTGGAATGAAGCAAAATTTAGATCTACATCTGGGGAGCGATATTTTTTTTCCTAGGATGGTAGGGGACTCAAAAATGTTATTAACCCCAGTGACGGGTAGGCTTAGGGATGGGGTTGGGGTAGGTCATATATTTATATAAGTAATGTAACGTAAAGTCAACAGCATTGATAAACACGCTGAAAAGCGATTATACGTGTTGATAGAACGGCAAAAATGGACATACAAATTGGCGTGTCATACACGCCATTTCATGAGATAAATCTGATTTATTGGCAACATTTTCACGCTAGAATGGTTGTTTTTCAGGGGGAATGCAATTAATTTGCTCAAAACAACACCGATTTGATCAATTGCATTAAGGCTGCACTTCAACCACGACAGTTATTGTTATCGGCTGCACACAAATTAATGTTAATGTTAATTAAAGACCAAGGCTAGTAAAATCTCTATATACTGCATGTTGAAATTAGACTAGATCTAATGGCATGAAGACAAAAGCCACACCACACAAATGGCTCTTAATTGGTTTATTTCATTAGCAAACAAGTAACTGTAATTGTTAAGTTCATTCTGTCGATCAATTTCTTACTTATACCCTACTTCTGGCCAGTCTGCACAAATACCGATCATGCATTTTTGCTTTGCCGCCCCTTTAAATAAAGTTTAAATAAAGACCAACCGTTCGCTCTACGTCAGAGCGACCACGGATCTTTCTACGCTTTGTCAGAGCAGCCAGAGAGATGCGCTTTTTTGCACATAGGATGGCTTGAGGGTGAGTAAATCAAGGGGCAATTTTAATTTTAAAATGAATTACTCCTTTAAGTTATAAAATCGTCAGAAATAGACGCACGCGACGTGTCTTCAACTCACCAGAATCATCCGCGAGATATCCTTACAGTCCTCGAGCGTGGCGGCCCGGATTGTGAAGTCCATAGATACAGTCGGTTGGTCTGGGAACGCCCCCGGGAACGCCCCGTCACGTGGTGTGAATTTAGCCCGTGGGGGAAAACATTGCCTTGGCGCTCATTGAAATACATGGGGCAATCATGCCGAAGAGTTGCGGTGTCGTTTTCTTTACCACCAATAAACAAACAAATTATAAATTGAAGTTCTACAGCCTTTCTTACATACATACAGAACCGGATAGGAGGACAAAATGGCAAAATTAATCATATCTTATTAGATTACTGTGTGAGTAGAGGTCCGTGTGATATAGTAGTAGATGTTTAACTCGTATTAGGCAGTGGGCCAGATTTGTCTGACTTTACATCCCTTACGAAAAAGAACTATAGTAATCCTATGGCTATTAGTATTCTATAGTAGTGTATAATACTTCTGTGATGTTCTTTAATACCTATACTTCTAGGCTATGTCCCAAAATACTATAGTATTCCTATAGGATTAACGTTACTATAATATTTTGTCCTAAAATACTACAAGATTCCTTTAGTTGTTTTTCATAAGGGATGTTATTAGCGTTATCAGCTGAAGGTTATCAGACTGCAGTCTGTGAGAATTCGGATAACTGTCAGCAAAGTCCCTCTGCAACTTCGTAGCGACTACTAATGATCACCGTTTTACAAAAGGATTAATAGTTTGGAGTGAAGCATACGTACAATTGGTAAGTGACATGGTTTTATGGACTTATAGTAACTTATACGCAAGTTGATTGAGTTACAGGCTTGTGTTGCCGGTAGCTTCCGCGATGTCTTACCTGAAGATTCAACCAGATATAATAGTCTGGAAACGACACCTCCGGCCATTTGGTTGGGTCATTGACCCAGGTTTTAATTAAATAAGGGCAATCATAACCTATTACAGTTAATTTTGCAATGTACCGTTGCCGGTCGGCAGGCATAAATGACTCGCAATATGACATTTTTGTCATTCAAATACATAGGATAGTCGCGCTGCTTTCCCCCACACCGACCACGCCCCCCAACTATGACGCGTTGCCGACTGTATCTATCCTTTGTGTTCAACAATAATAACACACTGAACAGCAAAATCTTACTGTCTGTCAAGTGTCAACGTGGAAAGATTGCATTTAGGCCATGCCTACACCTGGGGAAGCTGCATGCTTGTAATTTCTGATTTATAAGAAAAAACAAAACAAAACAGAAAAACAAGTGGATACGGGCAATAAGACGTGAGCTTTAGCAGGAAGAATGGGTAAATTGTGGGACCCTGACACTCAGTATGCATGTACTAAGAATACACTGTGTGCAGTACATTTTGCCACTGTTAGTAAAATATACAAATGTCAGTTTTATATAGTAAATTTCAGATATGTACATTTTCTAGTACATCATGTGTTATTTAAACATCCAGAAGACTATGGGCCCTAATGGACAGTGTTGCACACTCCCGCCAACAAGAAAGAACAATGAGGGAATTATTTTGGATAGTGAGAGTGCTGTAGTGTATTAGCACTGCTAGCTTAGCACATTTTAAGAACTTTTCTAAAGAAAAAAAAGAATGCAAAATTGAGGCCTATTATTTGCCTGATTGTTTCATAGTGTAATTCAAGTTGCTTTTGACTGAACTGAATGACTTTGGGTAGACGACAACAATGTACTAAAAACAGAAAAGATTTTCCTTTGCACTTTTTGAAAGTTTCGCTACAGTCGACAGCTATGTCAAAGCTATCTCTTTTCACACGGATTGACAAAAACAACTTAAAAACACTGAATTAATGTATGTTTCATTTTAAAATAATAAATTTGAACAAATTAAATTAGTATAATAAGACACTATAGGGCTGTTTCCCTAGGTAGGACTGATCAAATTAAATCATTTACACAGTTTTTATATATATATTTTTTAATATACAAATAAGAAATGTTGGACAGAATGATACTTTAAAAAAAAAAAAAAAACAATAAACCACCAGTAGGTGGCGGCAAGTAACCGTCTTAGTTGTTTATTAATGGGTCTTTGAATCAACTGATTAGACTCCCCAACGGGATTTGCCATGGAGCTGCTGATAGCGCCTGAACCATGCCTGAGTTCTCCCACCAGTAAAACTGAGCATCCGTCCTCCCTGATTCAGCTTATGACCTGAGGCAGCAGAGCTACTGGAGGAGTTGTGGTGTGGTGTGGACTCTACTATTTTTTTCGATTTAGAACTATTTTTAGTGTTATATCTTTATCGTTATCATTAAAACCCGTTCACACCAAGAATGATAACGATTACTTCTAATATGAAGATAACTATGATGATAACTATATTAGCATCCACTCCAAAGCACAATGTAATTTTGTTTATTTTAAGTGCACGCTGCAGTTTTGTCATCTGGCGCTTTAAAAGCTCAAGCTCGGATTTTGAAGCCAGGGAGGCTCAGGCTGGTCTGGAATCCTGGCTGAAGGCTGGGGTGGATCAAGCGGGTCTGGAATCCTGGCCCAAGGCCTGGGTGGGTCAGGCGGGTCTGGAGGCTTGACCGGGGCAGGCTGGGCTGGCAGCTTGAGTGGGAATTTGAGCGGGTCCATCAGAACAGGAAACTCGAGTGGGACCATGCAAACAGGCAGATCATACTCGGGCAGTACAGGAATCAGGGTGAAAAATCAGAACAAAATGAAGGTGATTGTCCCAATGGGAGTTCGACTGCTAGTGTATTGGGCATGGGTACGGCCAGCCTTCAGGTAGGGAACAGGGGTCATGGTGGAACAGTTCTAGAGCTTAAGAGCGGACTCAGGATAGGTCTCTGGGCAGACAGTGGACTCTGGGACAGTGTCTGGGCAGACAGTGAGCTCAGGAGTACAGACAGGGCAGGAGACAACCAGCTGAGAGGTGTGTGCTGCTCAGGCACACAGGGCAATCATGACGTAAAAAAGACAAGGATCACCCTCTGGGTCATGGCAGGACTGACCGGGGAAACAGGTGGCTGCAACTTCTTCGACCACCACAGGTGGCGCTGCATATTCTTCGACCACCACAGGTGGTGCTGCAGCTTCTTCAGTCACCACTGGGGGCGCTACAGCTTCTTCGACCTCCACTGGGGGCACTGCATATTCTTCGACCACCACAGGTGGCGCTGCAGCTTCTTTGACCACCACTGGGGGCGCTGCAGCTTCTTTGACCACCATTGGGGGCGCTGCAGATTCTGACCACCACAGTAAAGTCAAGTCAAGTCACATTTATTTATATAGCGCTTTTTACAATAGAGATTGTATCAAAGCCGCTTCACAGTGATAACATGAAAGTAATACAACACATCAATAATTGTTGAAATTAAATGTCCCCAACTAAGCAAGCCAAAAGCAAGGCAATAGTGGGCGCTGCAGCTTCTTCGACCACCACTGGAGGCGCTGCAGCTTCTTCGACCAACACTGGAGGCGCTGCAGCTTCTTCGACCACCACTGGGGGCACTGCAGCTTCTTTGACCACCACTGGGGGCGCTGCAGCTTCTTCGACCCCCATTGGGGCGCTGCATATTCTTCGACCACCACAGGTGGTGCTGCAGCTTCTTCAGTCACCACTGGGGGCGCTACAGCTTCTTTTACCACCACTGGGGGCGCTGCAGCTTCTTCGACCTCCACTGGGGGCGCTGCAGCTTCTTCGACCACCACAGGTGGCACTGCAGCTTCTTTGACCACCACTGGGGGCGCTGCAGATTCTGACCACCACAGTAAAGTCAAGTCACATTTATTTATAAAGCGCTTTTTACAATACAGATTGTATTAAAGCCGCTTCACAGTGATATGAAATACAACACATCAATAATTGTTGAAATTAAATGTCCCCAACTAAGCAAGCCAAAAGCAAGGCAATAGTGGGCGCTGCAGCTTCTTCGACCACCACTGGGGGCGCTGCAGCTTCTGCAACCATAGTCTCAGCCTCAGTTGTTACACCCACGGACAGTTGGCTGAACGTCTGATGGATATGAACTTCAGGAGTTTTGAAGTCTCGATCTGATTGGTTAAATTCTACAAGATGTCCGGGAGACGTGTGTGTCACGTTCTTCATCGATCCGCCTGGAAACAAATGCTGTGATGCCAAAACCCCTCGTGGAAAAAGAAAGCCGTCGTTTACAACTGTGACAATGATCGCTTAACAGGAACAACTAAACGCTGGATTGTGAAGTTCACTACTCCATTGTTGCAGTAAACTCGCACAACGTTCCTGAATTAAAGATTCCATTTTTCAAACTTTAGTTGGTTTGTAATGTTAATGTTGGAGCATATATATGCTGGCATACTTTTTTGCATATGCCAGTATGATCTTTTTGTGTTTAAACAACATATCAGGTTCTATTTTGTAGGAAATACTCCATCAATACATATTTTGGAGTCTTTATGTAACCTGGATGAAATCATAAGATCAATAAAGCTATGTGATATAGGGCTATAAATTAATTTTATGTGTGTGCTATTTCATTAGGAGTGGTTATTAAAATATTAGCATGTTTTCATGTAAATTGTATATATGCTTGAGCTGGGTAATCTTTTAATCATAAATGTAATATGTTGAATGGGCTATTTCTAAAATCTGTTATTATTTTTATCTCCTCTGTGGTCTCTAAAATGATAAGTAGTGCAATCATTGTTTCTAAACATAAACGGCAATAATGTGAAGACGTGTATAGTCCTACTCGCCATTCTCCCTCCCATAATAAGACATAAGCAACCGTTTGGCAATGAGTTTGATGATTATGAGTCAGAAAGTGAGCAAATCTGATTCACAGTGTTTTACTTATTTAATTCCCTAAGAGATTTTAATGTATTAAACAAAGGAACATTTGTACTTCACAATTATTCTGTCATTTGTTATTAACATTGAAATACTATAATTCCTCAGAAAAGTCCTCTGGAAAAGTCCTACAGTATATGTGGTATATCGTTAATCACTTCTCCGGGTGAACACTTGATGTCGCTGTTGGTTAAGGTGTGGAAACTGCAACATCATGGCGTTTGAGCAGATTACATATGTAGGGATGATGATCTGCAGGCCAAATGTGAATCCTCTCAGCTACAATTACTCTAATTGTAATTCATTTAAATGAGAGCTTTGGTGGTAATTATTTCATTAACTCTTAGCAGCTTATTTTATGATTAGTCCTGCGCTGCATAGGTTAACACCAATCTAGATCACACTGTTTTAAATGCTTAAAGTTCTCCCAAAAACCAAAATTCTGTCATTAATTACTAACCCTCATGTCGTTCATTTTTGAAACACAAAAGAAGATCTTTTTGATGAAATCTGAGTTTTCAGTCCCTCCATTGACAGGTACACATCTGACACAGGCGCCTCAAAAAGTTCATAAAGAGATCGTAAAACTAATCCGTAAGAATTGATGGGTCTATTTAAAATTGTCTGATGAGACTTGATTGCTTTATATGATGAACAGACTGAATTTAACACGAGAACGAAACTCGTTGGTGAAACTGATGAATGTTTGAATAAAAGTAGGCCTAAATTCAATCTGTAAAGAAAATTTGGACTAAACCACTATTTAAATATGGATTTAGTATCTCTTTACGAACGTCATCAAGCATCATAATGTCAGTTGTGTAGCTGTCAATGGAGGAACATAAAGCTCTCAGATTTCATCAAAAAGATTTTCATTGGTGTTTCATAGATGAAAGAAAGTCTTGCAAGTTTGGAACGACATTAGGTGAGTAATTAATGACAGAATTTTTATTTTGGGGTGAACTATCCCTTTAAGGCACGTGCACACCAAGAATGAGAAATTAGCGCCCACAACAGCGCACAATTTTTCTGTTTACTCCTAACGAGTCCGGCAGTTTTGTTGACTTCAGCTGCAATGAGCTTTGAAAGGAGGTAAAAGTCGTTCTGAAAGTGATTCCAATATTGTTCCTCTGCGTCTGTCTTACCGTTATTGATGTTGTAGACTCTCTTCTTTTATATTTAGATCGATATAGTTACAGACCGTCCTTCGTGTGAACGGGCCGTTTGGCAAGTTATAAAACCCATGCAGCGAAAAAAAAACCGCATACATGTACTTTTATTGATGACTGAAAGAACATAATATACAGTACATTGGATACAGCAGCAATAGTTCTACAAGTGCAACAAAATAATTTCTCTCTAGCAGGTCATTAAAGACTGAGGTACTTATGAGTTGTATGTTGTTCAGTTTTGTGTTGTATTCAGTAACAGCACGGGCTTTTCTTGCCAAAGACCTTTGGGCAATAAATATAAACATATTAGGTTTCTAAAAGGCAAAATGCACAAAAATCAGAAAAGCAAAATCCAACCATGCTTCCACTAACCAATAACACAGGATTCATCTTAATATAATTACAATTGTAGTGCATTTCTCCAGTTTGTGGCTCATATCTGTGCATGTAAAACGTAAACAGACACATCTTCATCTTCTAGGGTGGCTGCGTGACTCTTGTGAACCAATCAATTTTCCATATTGTAACAGTTTAAGAACATTACTTGTGTGCATATTTTCAGATAAGGTGGATTTGTGAGCTAGACAGACAAGATGTTTATGCAAACACATTCAAATGTACACATTACATGACGCATATGGCTAAACACTAAAATGGCTATTTAAATAGAACATCTAAAGGTAACAGTACCAACTGTAACAATTTCACTTCCACTTTTTCCATTGGTAGAAAAATGATAATGTCATAATATGTCCAATACATGATTCCCAATAACACAACAGTGCACTTCTGAATCTTTGGTTAGGCCAGATTTCACAATTTAAATACGTAAAATTAATCAGTATCATTTGCTGGCATTTGTTCTCTGTACTGTTTCTCGTCTCCGATGTCAAAAAATTGATATAGGAGATGAGCACGGTTATGTAGTCTATATTTTGACAGATTACTCTCTTCCTGTGCTTATCAAACAACTTGTTACTTGTGGCTCTGGACTAGGGTTGACAAGGGAATCATTGTGCTTCAAAATTTAAAGGTCCCCCTGTGCCAAGTGTTGAAGGGCATCACCCTCACAGCGCATGCAGTGATACCCGAGGTCGGAGGTTACATCCCAGCAGCCCTGCTTTCGGTAGAAGTCAAGAGATGACTTGTTCCAGTCCAGCACAGTGAAATTCAGCTGAGTGCAACCAGCAGCCAGGCCAAGCTAAGGGTGATCATAAACACAAACATGTCAACTTGTGCACAGTTAACAAACACTTTTCAAAATCGCAACAGATTTAACACACATGCTGTATTTATCTTGAGTAAACAAACTCCCCATACCTGGGAGACTTTAGCCATCAGAGCCTTGCCAATGCCTTTCCCTGGAAATACACACAGAAATTCATTAATCAGTTTATGTTACCTTTAAATATTCAAAAACACGGTGTCGTTTCCTTACCTCTGAACTCTGGCATCACGTACAGATCCTCCATGTACACAGACCGACCTTTCCATGAGCTGTACGTGTAGAAGTACAGTGAGTAACCAACCTTGGTATGACCTGTAAAGAGAATCATTTCTGTCAGCTTGATGGCAAAAATAAAAACACAAAACTCAGAAACAACACTGTAAACTAACAATATGTAAGATAACAATAATGTGTTCCTTTTATTGCTCTTTTTTTCACATTAGCACATTTGGCTTGACACTTAAGGAGTAGTTCACTTTTAAAAAAACTTTTGCTGATAATTTACTCACCCCCATGTCATCCAAGATATCCACGTCTTTCTTTCTTCAGTGGAAAAGAAATTAAGGTTTTTGATTAAAACATTTCGGGATTTTCTCCATATAATGGACTTCAATGGGAACCAAACGGTTCAAGGTCCAAATGAGAGTTTCAGTGCAGCTTCAAAGGGCTTTAAATGATTCCAGATGATGACTAAGGGTCTTATCAAGTGAAACGATCACTCATTTGAAAAATAAATAAAAAAGTTTTAAGTTTTATAAGCACAAATGGTCGCCTTGTTCTGTGATGAGTGTCCGTGACTCTCCTGTTCAAACCCGTTCATTAAAATGAACAAATCTTTTTTCGAGTCATGACTCGAAGGGTCCTAGATAAGACCCTTATTCATCGTCTGGTGTCGTTTAAAGCCCTTTGAAGCTGCACTGAAACTCTCACTTGGACCTTGAACCGTTTGGTTCCCATTGAAGTCCATTATATGGAGAAAATCCTGGAATGTTTTCATCAAAAACCTTAATTTCTTTTTGACTGAAGAAAGAAAGACGTGGACATCTTGGATGACATGAGGTTGAGTAAATTATCAGCAAAAGTTTTTTCAAAAGGTAACTACTCCTTTAATTTGTTTCCTATTCTAATTTGCATACAAAAATGCCAATTAACATAAAGGGGTCATGACATGGATTTCTTTTTATTATTTTAATGTTCCTTGAAATACTGTAATTTACAGACAAAGCATTATGAAATCATTTACTTATGGTTTGTGACGCAGCTGCTGTCAGATTCAGTACAGTTGCTGCTTAAACTTTCAACAAACGTTTCCTTACGATCTCTTCATTACACTGTCCCTACTTTTGTTATTCGGAAGTTAAATGCTCCGAACAAACATAATCCTCTGACGCGATCCAGGATGCCATTAAAATTAATTATACACTTCCGCGTAGGATACATCCATGTATCCTCACTCATAACTCCTCAGGAAATCTCCTCACTCGCGGTGCAATTAGAGAATTGAGATGTCCTTCAAGATGGCCGAGCTCAATTGATTTCCAGGTCATAGGATGGAGGATAGAGGGGAAGAGGAGAGATATTGATAAACACCCCTGAATTCAATGATTTGGAGGGTTACTTTTGGCAATATGGTGTGTTTTACTGCTGTGTATCAGCCATTTTTTTAGCTTTATTTTGGTACAAAGACCTCTTATGTGCATGTTGTGTCATGACCCCTTTTTAGAAAATATGTGTAACTCTGGAGAGGTAAAGCAACAGAGAATAAAATGGCAAACTAGCTTATGTAACATTCATGCACTCAGGCTAGACATGACACACATGCCCAGATTAGATAACAAATGTGTCTCCAAATGCAGAGCAGCACAGATGGACCATCTTTCTCACCATCTCTGGACTTAAGATGCTCCGGCACTTCAGCAATAATTCCATGGAAAAAAGGGTTTTTGGAGAATCCATCCTGCTCCAGATCTATAGTAAAAGTTGTATGATTGGAATAATTCATACTGTGGCTTGTTTGGAGATGGTACCAAACAAATCATTATATTTGTATATGACAATCATGCCTACCTCTTTGTGTAATCTTGATCTGGTCTGAAACTTTCTCATGCTCTGCCAGTTCCTAGTTAAAGGCATTCGACAAAACAAACAGTTTACGGCTTGATTTTGCTGGGCAAATTTTCACTATTCTGACAGCAGCACAGTGTATAATTATTTTATTCATTTATGTGTTAATAATGAGGTACATTTAATCCATAACGTGACACTGGCCTGCTTATTGTAGCGGACACGATATGATCTGATTTTCATCATCCTTAATATGACGTCATTCAGATCCACCATTCAAAACACACAAAAGTCGCGGCTGACAGGTGAAGGCTGTAGCATTTCAGACACCGTCCACTTCGCTCACGACAGGAAAGTGTCAAATTACAGTGTGTAAAGTAAACGTGGCTTACTGTAAACCGGTCATCAACACTGATGCCATTATCCGCACATTACACGTTAAACAACAGAGTTTGGAGGATAATGAAAGCCTGCGCATGCTGTCGGTGACGCGGAGGATGAGTGTTCCAATTCTTTAAGTTCTAAAATCGTCAGAAATAGACGCACGCGACGCGTATGACACGCGGGCGCTTCGACTCACCAGAATCATCCGCGAGATGTCCTTACAGTCCTCGAGCGTGGCGGCCCGGATTGTGAAGTCCATCCTGTGTTCAACAATAATAACACACTGAGCAACAAAATCTGAGTGTGTGCCAACGTGGAATAATATTATGAAACGGAAGAGATGTGTTTATGTGCTCTGACTCTCACGCGGCACTTAAGCTTAGAGACGGAACAGTTGAAACAGCGCCATCTGCATGTACTTATATCGTCCTGTCATCATCATATTGGCAGTAGTTTATACAGTAGATTAAAATATGTATATTATCAGGATTGTTCCACAGAAACATTTCTTCTGTACAGTAGGCTATATTCAAAGCTGACTCATGACTGCTGATTTAAAGTCCGCATGAAATCAGATCAGAATTGAGGTTTTTGGCTTTTTTTTATTATGAATAGGCTAGCTGTTAGCCTTACTGTTATTTATAAACTACATGTGCTCCAAAATGGCAAAATGTGTATTTAGAAGATATAAACATTCAAAACTTAGTCTCTCATTCCCAAAATCAATTATTTTGATGACGTCACTCTGCACTTTAGATTGTCATCAGATTTTCTGTCCAATCAAATGCTCTATAGAAGCCGAAGATCAGCTTAGACGCTGATGCTGAAATCGGTCACTTGTTCACACATTTGAGGCCCTAGCACACTGAGTCCGAAATTCGCGTACGAAATTTCCGCACGTCAAAAAACAAATACGACCTCACGTTATGACTTGCACACTGCCTCCGAAAATTTCATCCGTCATAAAAAAAATCGAATCGGGTTTGATTTTCTGCGTTTTTCGCATCTGTAGCAAGCAGTTTGAATGGTGTTTAGACAATTCAGAGCCACCAAATCACGAATACGAAAAAACGCGTACAAAAATTTCGGACTCAGTGTGCAATGGCCTTTACTATTTTCTACATGGTGAGATTGGGAGGAAACTGCGGCTTTGCTGAGCTCAACGGCTCTAGTCGAACAGTGATATAAACGAAACGCTATTGGCTTTTTATTTTTATTTATTTTTTATGGGAGGAGCTGATAGGGTTTGGGTTGATTTGAATTTTTATAAAGGATAGCTTCTTGAGATGCATCATCTCATTTTTAAGCGGGTCATAAAAACATAAATACAGAATACAAAAGACAAATCATAAGCAAAATCATTACATAACATACATTACAGATACACATACAAAGCTCATTTATACACAACCCTCACCCCAACCCCCAGTTTTTTTAGGGTCCCGCCCTCTCTTCCCGTTTCATTACGTCAACACACTGAATAATGCGTGTTTCAAGGCACTTCAGTGAGCTTTTAGCAGTTTCTTTCATTATTACTACTTGTAACATCACTGTTTACCGTATGGTTTAATTATTAGCTTGTGCTGATGCAGTGACCAAACTATTTCTCCCTCAAACATTCTTTCATGAATCATTCAAATATGACATGTATTCAACCAATATTAAAGCTTTGAATAACCTTGAACAAAACATTTTTTTTTATTAAGTACAAGTCTTCCAGATGTCATTTAATACATTATTTCTCATGCAAGTTGCAACTATCAGAAACTGTAATGCATGTAAACTCAAATGCCTTTCACTCTCAGTTTATTTATTACCCTATACTGTAAATAAAGTATAGACTATATTATGTGATTAAATAGTTTATATAACAACATAAATATATCTATAAAATAACCAAAATTGCATGTGTCTATTATCATATTGACTTTTACAAGCTCTGAGTTCAGAGTTACATTGCCAGCTCATAATATGATATAATAGCTTTCCTTGAGCTTTTTCATTCATTGCATTAGCTAATTTATAAATGCAAGCCCTGCAATCAATAGGACCACAGATTCCACACCACAAAGTGGCTGTTCAACTCAGGGGTGTAAACTGTATTTTCAGAGTTTGTGCTGCTAAATATAGATTCGTTGGCGCAGGCATTACTGGACAGGGCGGGGATGCTTTCATTTGAACAGTTATATTCAGATTCCGCTCTCAGAAACTGGCCTCGTGCCACTCAAAACAGCTCCAGCGTTGAAGTAATGGGCGCTGCTGACTGAACCGTTGTCTGAGGCTGACTAACGCAGGCGAGGGGCAAAAGCTGCCGTTTTCCATCAGCGACTCATGATCTTCATGAGGATGACGTCTGTGAATGATCCAACCGGCAACCGCATGACCGCGCGCGCTCCTGTCCATTCGACGGGATGACGCGTGGGTTTCTGACGGAAACGGCTAGTATAAATTTATATAGAATTGAGTTGGCAATGCTGAATGGACCGGTGAGGACGAAAACATCTTATACCAGACAATAGCAACATCTTCAGACAAAATGGGTTACGTGTTATATCTTATTAAAGATAACACATCGACACTTTAACGTAGGCTAACAGTTGAAGGTTCACCACAGTATTTAAATTTCTAACGTTTTGATAGCTTTTGTTTTTAAATTACACAGTTATATAATTGGCCACATGTTTTTTTAAACACAAGTTGCGAGTTGCTTTGTAAGGACTTCTACAATGTTGTCTGATTCGTCAACTCACATGGCGCGTTCAATCCCTCCTGGGAATTTCGTATTTACGAGTTGGGAAGTTCAGCTGGTCATGTAACTTCACCTTTATCACACACACACACACACACATATATATATATATACAATGTATATAGCCTAAATATAGCTATATTCTAAATGTGGTATAAATATGGTCACTGCTAAAATCCTATTATGGTATTCTGCCATGTTTCTCATGGACATGCCCCCAACTCCTAAAGATCAGGGATCAAAGGAAACCCTGAGCTTCCCACTAGTATTTACGACTTTGTGGTGGCATTCATGTGCGTTCAACTCGTAAATACAATCTTTCCGACATAACTTGAACACATCAACTTTCCTGTGTATAGTTGAAGTCTTTAGTACGGAGCCCCTAAAGAGACATTGTGAAGGCAAATCTTTTGCATTCCCCTGAGAAACTTTGCGCTCATTTGGAAAGAACACAAAAGTTTTGTGAGCAAACGCAAAAGCATTGACTTCGAAATGCATATTTGGGGTGTAACTATAATTAATAAACAAAACGTAAAACTCTTTTCAAGTAATGTTAACCGTCCACAGACCTATAATTTCCTCACAAATCCATACGTTTCAGAAAGTTATGGTTAGGATTGAAAACCATGACTGGAAAAGGTTAATTCTCTTTTAGGGCTACACACTGAACATCTCAATTTGAGCGAAATGTCAAGGACAACACTGACGTAAAGAGGACCTGTGAGGGATCAAAAGATGTGTTAACAGAAGGTGTGGCAACATGGACATGAAAGAGCAAAAAAATAACTTTTTAAAACTTTTTTCTTAACGCAACATGGTGCCCCGGCATATAGACTCATTAGTACCAGTACAGCGCCAAGGACCATTATATAATTGACATTAACACTAAGAAAACTCATGCATTCATGGAAAAATAACGGCCCTGACGTCACACAGTAGCCTAAGTCCTTTTATACACACCTCATAAAGAGCACCAGATGGAAGAACAGAGGCCCAGTCACTCTTCACATGGGATGCGAGAACCATGCAGAATGTGATTGATCCAAACAGTGAAAGTAATTGAGGATTTTCACTGTATTTAACAGTAATTGCAAACAATGTAAATTTACACTAAATGCAAATGTAAACAGTGCACAAATAACAACTGTCTACACCCAGAATAACATCATCTGCAGCCATATATACTATAATGCATTCTCCTCGTGTTGAGCAGGAAACCGTCTTCCTTTCCTGTTTAGTCTATGACGTGATGACATTCTTTTTCTGCTACTATAGTAGTATCTTTTTTTGGGGTGCTTTCATTATTTTAAATGTGGCATGATTCAACTTATTTAAAAAAAAAATAATTAAAGCAAGAAATAATAATGAAATAATATTTTCAGAGTGGCACCCAAGGACCCCTCGAAGAAAAAGTGTAAAAACAGTATATTAAAAAATAATTATCATTCTAAATAAATAGCCTACTTAATTTGAATAAATTAAAAAAGGTTTTAAATATATATTAAATCAAATAACAGTACAGTAGGCCTACTACGAGTATAAAAAACATAGTAACTAACCTCAGAAACGTAATTATTAATTGTTCACAGTATAAACTGTGTCTTTATGAAAACATAGAATGGTCATGAATATTATACATATTAGGGCTGTATAATCTAAAACATTCAAAAACTAAAACCAAAAACTCTGGCCTATAGAGGATATTCATGTAAAATTACTACTATACCTAGATGGTATACTTTGTGTTTTTGTCAAACAAGCACAATAAACCAAGTTATTTAATAGCTTGATGACTACTGTTTGTTTTTTATATAGATCAGATAAAAAAGGGAAATGAGCTCATAATCTAGCTGATGCAACTGAGCCGCAAGAGAATTCAAGAGTAAAGAAAGAGAGGGGGAATCTGTTATTCAGTGTACAGGACTAACGTCCCTCTTTCCCATATTAGGAGAAGAACAACTGTTTGTCATCGCTGCTGTATCTGAGTGAGGAAATAAACGTTGGCCGTCAGCGTCCAGACGCATTAATCATGTGACTCGTGCTGGTTGCGTCGGGCCGTCCAGCCATTAACCAGACATTAACCGTTTCAGTCAGTGAGTGAGCCATTCAGAAATGTTTGATTTTTCCTCATCTAAACCACATCTGCTATAGGTAAAACCTTATTTTATCGTGGACGCCACACTAAACTGACCTCTATGCAGTATTTTTGAGCAGAAATAGCTGCTCTTCTGGGTGTGTTTGCAGCCAAAACAAACATGTACATTTTCTAGTACATGTGTTATTTACACATCCAGAAGACTATGAGTAGAGGAACTCATGCACAGTGTGCACACACCTTCTCACGCCAACAAGAAAGAACATTGAGGGAATTATTTTGGATAGTGTGAGTGCTGTAGTGCTGTACTATACACATAGGCCTATTAAGAAATTTTCTGAAGAAAAAAAGGCCTATTATTTGCCTGATTGTTTCATATTGAAATTCAAGTTTATTGATCGTATTTTAACAGAATGACTTTGGGTAGACGACAACAATGTACTAAAAACGGAAATGGTTTTCCTTTGTGTTTTTTAAAAGTTTCGCTACAGTCGACAACTGTCGAAACAATCCCTGTTCACACGGAGCGACGAAAACAACAAAAAAC